CATTTCACACTCCACATTCTACACTTCACACTTTTCGCTTTACACTTTAAACTCCAGACTTTACACTGTACTCTCCACACTCTACACTCTACACTTTACACTCCAGACTTTCAATCCACACTCTACACTTTACACTTTTACGCTTTTACACTTTTACACTCTCCATTTTACACTCCACACTCTACACTCCACACTCCACACTTTATATACAATTTACACTCCACACTCTGCACTTTACACGCTACACTTTACATTCCACACTCTACACTTTACACTTCACCTAAACTCCACACTTTACACTTTACTCTCCGCGCTCCACACTCTACACTGTAAACTCCCGACTTTACACATTACACTTTACACTCCAAACTCTACACTTTACACTCTACACTCCGCACTTTATATTTTAAACTTTACACTCCGCACTTTATACTCCACACTTTACACTCCACACTTTACACTCCACATTCTACACTATAAACTCCACACTCCACACGCCGCACTTCACACCCCACACTCCACACCCCACACCCCACACTCGACACTTTACACTCCACACTTTACACTTCACACTCTACACTCTACACATTACACTCCACACTCCACACACTACACTCCGCACTCTACACTTTACACTCCACACTTGAGACTTTACACTCCATACTCTACACTTTACACTCCGCACTCCACACACTACACTTTACACTCCACCACACTCAACATTCTACACTTTACATTTCACATCCACACTCCACACTTTACACTTTACACTCTACACTCTACACTTTACACTCCACTCTCCACACACTACACTCCGCACTCTACACTTTACACTCCGCACTTTAGACTTTACACTCCACACTCTACACTTTACACTCCGCACTCCACACACTACACTTTACACTCCACCGCGCTCAACATTCTACACTTTACACTTCACACTTTGCATTCTGCACTTGACACTTTACACTCCACACTCTACACTACACTCTACACTTTACATTCCACAGTCCACACCTTCCAGTCCAAACTCCACATTCCACACACCAAACTCTACTCTTTACACTCCACACTTTACACTTTACTTTTTACTCTCCACACTCCACACTTTACACTCCACACTTTACGCTTTTACACTCCACACTTTACACTTGACACACGTACTCTTTGACGCTCTACACTTTACACTCCGCACCCTACACTCTACACTCCATGCTCCACACCTTACACTTTACTCTCCACACTCCACACTCTACACCTTACACTCTACACTGTACACTCCAGACTTTACACTTTACATTTTACACTCCACACTCTACACTTTACACGTTTCGCTTTACACTTTACACTCCGCATTTCACACGTTACACTTTTTTTACACTTTACACTCCTCACTCTACACTTTACACTCTACACCTTACTCTCTACACTCCACACTTTACACTCTACACTTTACACTCCACACTCTACAGTTTACACTCCACACTTCACATTTTTTACTTTTCACTTTGCACTCCACACTCTACACTATACGCTCCACACTCCACACTCCACATGCTACACTTTACACTCCGCACTCCACACTTTACACTTTGAACTCCACACTGTACACTTCACACTCTCCACTCTCCACATTGCACTTTACACTCCACACTTTACACTTTACGCTTTACTCTCCACAGTTCGCACTTTACACTCTACACACTACACTTGACATTCCACACTTTACACTTATACACTTTACTCTCCACACTCCACACTCTCTACACTTTACACGCCACACTCCACACTTTACACTTTTACAGTCCACACTTTGCACTTTACAGTCCACACTCTACACTTTACACTCCACACTCTACACTTTACACTCCACACTCCACCCTCTACACTGTACGCTTTTGCTCTCCACCACACTCCGCACTTTACACTTTACTCTCCACACTCTATACTTTACTCTCCATAATTTACGCTCCGCACTCCACACTGCACATTTTGCACCCCGCACTCCAAACTTTACACTCGACACTTCACACTCCACACTCCACACTTTTTACTTTACACTTTACTCTCCACACTCCACACTCTACACTACACTCTACACTTTGCACTTCACACTCCACACTCTACACTTTACACTCCACACTCTACACATTACAGTTTCCACTTGACACTTTGCACTTCACACTCCACACTTTACACTTTCCACCCCACACTTTATACTTTACACTTTATACTTTACACTTTACACTCCACACTCCACAATCCCCACTCCACACTCTACACACTAGATTTCCCACTCAACACTCCACTTTCTCCACGCTCCACACTTTGCATTCCACCCCATTCCACATTCCACAGTCTACAGTGCACTGGTACGGTAGCAGGTTCAAAAATACAAAGTTTTTAAATATATAACTTGTTTCACAAAAGTGTTTTACTGCATTCGGGTTCGTGGGCTGCATCTTGTTTTTCATAGAGAATGATCAAACCCATTGCTGGAAGGCTGGAAGTTGATGGAAACTGATGGTCTTCAATGCATTGGGCCCCACTGGTTGGGGACCCGCCCCGTGTGGTCTCAGAGGTATAATCGGGCCATGACTGCAGCATGTCAGCTCATACCCTTTGTGCGATGCCGCTACTTGGAGATGTGCATTGGACGGATCTTAATTTCCTAAACTCAGAGCAATCAACCCCAAATCTGCAAGAACACACAAGACTACTCGTTAGTCTACTTTAGAAAAGCAGAACACTCAATAAAAACATGGCAAACATCTAACTTAATAGGCAACATAATAGGAACGAACACACAGTAGATTCAGGTGAAGTGAACAATTATCAAAACAGTTGGCAAACATACATGATAAATTCTGGTTTATTGGGTAATTGACAGTTATATTACGTTATATGCCCAATGTTTTTTGTTGCAAGGTTTTGTTTTTCGCCCTCCTGGTGCTGGAACATTGTTGGTCAATCGTTGGTGATGTTTTTCGGCATTTGTTTTTAAAACATTGTGATTAAACCCATTCAAGACAACATGCTATTACCCATTCATAATCTATACCGTTTGGAAATATTTGGGGCATATTAAATGGATCCAAATGCAGGTTTCTTGCGCGGTTTCCTAATTTGACATAGAACTCGAAAGATGGACTTTCGATATTATGAAATTCACATTGGATACAACAGCAAACATGGGTTCCATACCAAATTGTAAGGGGCGCACTTGCAGTTTTGTTTGTTTTGCTTGGGGGAGAATCATTTCCCATGAATGTTCTGAACCAAATTGGGCCTAAGACTCCAAGACCTCTGCCGCTTCATGTTTTCTTTCTCTAAGAGGAAAGTGATAGCTGCTCAGCTGCGCAGAGTGGCTGAACCACAAGTGACGACCCAGGTGACTTTAAAGACATTGTTAGAGTCTTGTCAGATTATATAAAGTTTTTCTCTGATTTTGTAATTATGTATGTATATATATTTACTGTATATAGAGTTTCGTTTGGGTCTACCCCAACCCCCCCAGGCTGGTGTTGTAATTGAGAGGGCCCCCTTTCCAGGCCAAGTCAATGGATTCCCCCATTCCCATCAACTTCGCATATGGGTATGGATCAATACCTATCAATACCATTTTTAATGGGATGAACATCCATAAATCCCAGCTATTTTGATGTGAACTACAGGGGTACTATTGGTTTTGACACACTGCCATATGATTGGGGATTCTTATGGGGAGGGGATTTGAAGATTCTTCAAAGCTGCATCACAGTGGGGGCTGACCAAATCACCAGTTTTGGAGCACGGGAAGTTTGAAACGTTTGATGCGGACCATGGAACTGCTGGTTGGGCTGCCAGGAGGTTTGTTTCTTTAAAGCCTCCTAGTTTTGCAGCTAGGATAAGATGGGTGAGACTTGACTGGATCCAAGTAATACTGAAGATCGCTGCGTGAGACTTGAAATCACTTCTGGGTGGGCATTGTGCCAGGGTTTCCCCAATGAAAGGGGGCATCAAACCAATCGTTTTCGGTGTGTTTGACTCAAACACAATTGAGATCCATATGAACTTCCCAGAATTGGTGTGAGGTAAAATTTGTAGGCATCGCCCTGATATTTCATGAAGAAAAGTAAAGGTTTTCCTGTAGGTTCATTTTGGGAAATTCACGAGTTTTCACATGTTGCGCTGTCTTGGCAGCCCTTGCAGCCCTTGCAGCCCTTGCAGTTGCCGTCTGCAAAATCCTGTGATTCTCTCTCTCTCTCTCTGCTGCAGTGGAGCTCAAAAATGCGTGCCATGAGGGGCCGTTTGGTTGCTTGTTTTTGCTCATATCTCCATATATCTCCCACACAAATCCAGGAGGTGGTGTCCCATAGTTAAGTTGGCAGCCGAACTCGGGTTTATTCTGATCATGTTCATCTAGTTCAATGGGTTTTAAAAGCAACTGAGAACCAAGGGGCACCACCTATTTCATGGATATACAGATATACCTTACCATCCAAAATCATGAGGATCAACAACCAGTATTTACTTGGTGGTCTGACTTACATTAATATGTCAAAAACTGTTAAGAAAAAAATACGTGCAATCTTCCACATGATGATCCCAATCGACTAGTTGATGTGAATTTCAGACGGCTGTTCCTCCTGCACCCGCTTGTGACCTATCGACCTCTTAGCCAGGTGGTTTTTGAGGCTCTGACCTGACCTGAAAATTCATAATTTTGATGGGAAACTGATGACAACCAGCTGGGATTTTGGAGTTTTCGTCCATGGCTTTCCCCTAAATTTGGGACCATGGGATTGATGACAGTAAACCAGATGAATCCCACGTTTACACATGTTTACACCCATAGTTGATGAGGCAAACCCCCTTCATCCCTATTATAACCCTATTGTTTATGGTAAAATCCTATTATCACTTTTTTATTGATGAATATTGATTATGTTATCTATTCACTATACATTTCTGAAAGCACATATTCCCACAGATTCCCGGATTTTTTGACTTTCCACCAGGTTGAAGTGGAAACGAACTCCGGTGCGCTTGCTGGCGGATTCGGATTCGGGCTTTCCGTGGCTGACTCTCCAAGGTATTCACCCCAGAATTCTTAGTAGCTTTATAAGAAGGGATTATAGGATATATATATAATATAAACAATATTATATATATATAATGAATATGTATATATATATATTTTGATATTATAGTAGGAACATACATACTGGTAAAAAAAATGGTATGTTACCCCCATAACCTCTGGTAATCAAACGCGGCTGGCAACGGGAAATCCCTCAAGTAAATGGAGGATACTAGCTGGGAACATCATCTATAAATGGTGGATTTTCGAGCAAGCCACGTTTGATTGCCGGAGGGTAGTTTTAGTACTTTTAGCCATTCTCATAGGTACTTGGAGGGTCTAAGCATTTGGATTTTAAATTGGGAACAATGTAGTTATATATATATATAAATGATGATACATGTATGGTGGATATGTTGACATCTTTTGATTGATCTATGTGGAGTTTCAAAGTGTTGAGTTTAAAAATGGCTTGCCCGGTAACAATGGGAGTTCAATGGACGGGCAAGACCATCCGCAGAGACAACAGTGTCAGCTGGTATTTAAGCATCGAGAATACGGACTCAGGAAACGTCAAACATGGGAGCTTTACGGGAAAGTGTGATTTCAGTGCTTTCAAGGAAAGAAGTCGGGATATCACCCTGGAATTGAATGACTGGAAGCCAGATGACTCTGGCACGGGAAGCTGGTTCGCCGCAGATTCATTTCAAAGCAAATTGGATCCATCGTGATGTCCACACCACTGTGGGGATGTATGGGAGTATTGCTGCAAGTAGTGGTTTGAATCTACCGTTCATGTAGGTCGTATATATATATATATATACATACATATATATATATACATATACATATATATATACATATACGTATATATATATATACATATACATATATATATACATACATATATATATATACATACATATATATATATATGATTATATATGTATATATCATGATTTCATATTTCCATTCTCATTGGTCTTATCCCGCGTGACTACCAACTGGAGATATCACAACACGATCGCCGCCCGGCGACGGCGAGGTAAAGGCACCGGGGGCACCAAAGAAAGTGAAACGAGTGAAACTTCCGAAGGTGACGCGACCTGACCTGGTGGGACCATTGGAGGTGTATCATGGCTACGTGACGTGACGCTTTTTGGTTTAGGGCGTGGTAAATGGTCGAAACTTGGATTTTGAAGATCACCTTCAAGTATCGGTTGGAGATTCTATCCCTAATAATCCCTAATAATCCTATAATAGATGTTTGCTGTTGACTTAGCACATTTACCAACCTCTTCGTTGAATCCGGTAATCAAACATGGTTTGATGGGAAATTCCCCATTTAACAAATGGACAATACGGGGGTTATACATATCCCATATCAACCCGTATTGAAAATGCGCTAGGTAAACCTTGGGTGGGAAGCTGAACTTTTGTTTGTGTGTTTTCCTATGGGAGAATATACTGCAATTTAATTCACAGCTAAAACTCAAGTTGTTCTCACAGCATATCCAACACTAGCCATGGTCACGCATCGTTTGGTCCCAGACTCTCTATTTATATATATAATTATATATATATATATTGTGTTCAAACGAGCCTGTGCAGGAACCCCACAGTGAAACGGACTGGTTCCTGCAGATTTTTACTTGAACCAATCGAGTGCTTAGCAATTACTGTAGATGCAATTAGCAATGGGATTTTGCATTACAGTGATCTCCAAAAAGATCGAACTCAGTAAATGAACTATTGTTTCCATGTTCCATTTTCTTGGTATTGGAGAATGGGATCCTTTCCTTTTTCGTACACCTCACCTGAAATCAGGTGCAGTGGCACCAGCACCCAAGTCGCATGCCGAGGCCAGTTGTGTCCCAAGTGAAATGTTGTGTGGGGTTTCAAAAGAGGTTCTGTCCTGACTTACCATGTGTTGCTTTTCTTGTTCAGTTACAAAAAAAAGAGCTTGTTGTTGAATAGGTTTACCATATCACTCTTGACACCAAGCATATGCTTCTAAATAGTTCTAAGCCGGACACGCACTGCCGGACACCACTGGGTGATCACCACGTTGTCATCCTCCTTGCAGTATTCGGCACTGACTATCCAAAACCAGAAACTCAAAAACACATTGCAGCAGCTGTAGATAGTTCTGCTTGTCTCAATTTTGCCTGTTTTTCCTATCCCTTTCTATCTCTGCAAGGTGGTGCCCCAGTTTGCATCGCTAAGTTGACGCAAATAACTACGTAGCTATGGTTTATTATGCTATAGATATAACATGATATTACGATATGGAGGTTTCCTAAAATGGGGTACCCCCAAATCATCCATTTCATTAGGCTTTTCCATCAAACAAACCACCCAGCTATGGGGGATTCCATATGTTGCTGAGCTCACCTGTTCAAGGAGTTGTTCATGACGAAAATCCCCAATGTTTCTGACAGAAATCAATGCAACATCTTATGGATCTATATGATGCAGGGTTTCATGAAGAATCTTCAGGGTTTCCAATCCACGGGGAAAAAAGATTCCATATGATCCATATTTTTGATGAGGATTGTCCATTTGTCATTATAAACCATCCATTTTGGGTACCCCATTCTAGGGAACCCCCATTTGCATCATCACTATCATTCTTACAATTGGTATGAAATCCTTGTCATTCTTCTCCTTAGCATTTTTCTTCTGATATCCTATTGTCATTATTTCGTTGGCATTATTAATGGTGATTATGGATACTTGATATTATATTTGTATATCTGAAGATTATTATGGATCATTGATCCTTACATGTATTCAGATATCTGCTTCCAAGCAGCCTTCCGCAGGGTGGACTTGGCTTGGACGATATGCCAAGATCGATTGGACAGCCCAAGGTCGGGTTTTTTCGAGTCAAGTGGAGACGCTGTTTTTTCCAGTGGCTAAACCCTGGTTAGTTCATAAGTATAGGGGGGTAATGTGGGGTTGAATCATCATTTATAGGCTGTTTCAGCATGAAAACTATGGGGATATAATTGAGAAATGATCGTTGATTGATCATCAAAAAGGGGATTATACTCTCCGAGATGTTGGGGATCCTGTGGATCAACTTGGAAATCCGTTCGAACAGAAGGGATGACATGTCAGGTTTAGCAGACACTGCTCACATGGAACATGTCCAGTTCTTTGCAGGAAGGGCCAAAAAACGTTTCATAGGTTGGTTAAAATTAACTAGGCTAATCGGATGTTTGGTGGAAATATGTAAAGTTTGATTTTAGACCAAGGCTGATGTGCTGTGCCCTTCTTGTAGAGAGCTCAAAAGTTGCCTTCTGTAGAGCTCCATGTATATTGTTAAATGCTGACATTTGAATTATTTTTGGAGTGACTGTTGGACGTAACATAAATCAACATCAGCACAAGGGGATGATCATAGTGAATGGTTAATCGCATCGTATAGAAAAGGATGGAGAAGATTGGATGAACCATAAAGGACCATTAAATGGGTCGTTGTTTGGGTGAATGGTACATATATCAAACATCCCATGCAGCATATCAGAACGACCAATGACCCATGGAAATCCCACCCTCAAGCGACCAAAAAAAAGAAGAAGCTGGAATCGGAGATGCTTGAAACGTAAAAACGGCCAATTCAACATTGAAGTGGGGTGGAAACACATTCATTTCTAGGGGCAAAAGTGTATGTATATATATACACACATAGGTGTGTATATATATATAATTATATGCATATAGGTGTATATATACACACATAATCATAAACAATCATACGCAGTCATAAAAAATCGAAAACACATAAATTTACTGCACAACAAAAGCACATAACATTACATAGATACGTATATACATAAACCATATGAACGCATGTTTATTTATATATACATGTACTGAAAACAGCATATAAGTATAACCATCACACGCTCTCCCAGCTCCTAAAATGGACTGAGGCCATGTCCCCTGGAGACACCTTGAAGGAGCCACAGGTGGCCCTGGGAACCCCAGCGGCGGATCTGGATTTTGTTTGAAACTTACACCGGCAAGAGACCCCAAGCAGTGTGGGGGGTAGGAAGTCAATGTACCAGATGCAAGCAACAGTAGCTATGGAACAGTACATTATCGGAACTGCAGCAGCAGGAACTTGTTTTGGCACAAGAAGCAAGGCTGTGTCTACTCATCAGGGCCTCATAACAGAACCTCATACCAGGACATCTAAGAGAATGCCGAAAGATCGTCAAAGAAGGACTTTCTATATATAGGATCTTACAAGATCTATCAAGATCTTCATACACGAACTTCCTATGAGCATCCGAGAAGAACTTTCACACAAGCACCACCGCAGAGCATCTTCAAGATCTTAATATTCTTAATGCAAGGACCTCTTCAGGAGGACTTCAGCAGGATCTGCACAAGATCTTTCCGCAAAGACCTGTAGGAGATCATGCAAGGACACCGAGAGGATTTCACCAGGACCTCTTCCAGATCTTCTCACAAGGACCTGTACAAGATCATGCAAACGCCTCTGACAGCATTTCACTAGGATCTCCACAAGATCTTCTCACAAGGACCTGCACAAGGTCTTGCAAGGACCTCTTAGGCTCTTAGAGGATTTCACATGGTTTCGCCAAGATCTCTACAAGATCTTCTCACAAGAAGTTGTAAAAGACCTTGACCATGATCTTCACGCCAGGACCCCTAAGAGAATCTCACAAGATCCTCAGCAAAAAATCAAAGGACTTGCTGCTGGAGAGGATCTTACAAGATCTTGATACAAGAATTTCTCACAGAAGAGCTTTCATACGAGCACCTTTAATACGTGGCATCACCAAGATCTTGATGCAAGGACCTCTTAGAGAGGATCTTACCAGGATTACCACAAGATCACGCAAGGACCTCTGAGAGAATTTTTCCCGAGAGCGTCTGAGCGCAGGGTTCTTCCAATAGTGGGGGTCTGTAAAACATCTTCTCATCTTCACATCCTCTCATCTTCACATCTCATCTTCACATCTGCTCATCTTCACATCTGCTCATCTTCACATCTGCTCATCTTCACATCTGCTCATCTTCACATCTGCTCATCTTCACATCTTCTCATCTTCACATCTGCTCATCTTCACATCTGCTCATCTTCACATCTGCTCATCTTCACACCTGCTTCACATCTTCACATCTGCTCATCTTCACATCTGCTCATCTTCACATCTGCTCATCTTCACATCTGCTCATCTTCACATCTGCTCATCTTCACATCTTCTTATCTTCACATCTTCTCATCTTCACATCTGCTCATCTTCACATCTGCTCATCTTCACATCTGCTCATCTTCACATCTTTCTCATCTTCACATCTTCTCATCTTCACATCTGCTCATCTTCACATCTGCTCATCTTCACATCTGCTCATCTTCACATCTTCTCATCTTCACATCTGCTCATCTTCACACCTCCCATCTTCACATCTTCTCATCTTCACATCTGCTCATCTTCACATCTGCTCATCTTCACATCTGCTCATCTTCACATCTGCTCATCTTCACATCTGCTCATCTTCATCTTCACATCTGCTCATCTTCACATCTGCTCATCTTCACATCTGCTCATCTTCACACATCTGCTCATTTTCACATCTGCTCATCTTCACATCTGCTCATCTTCACATCTGCTCATCTTCACATCTGCTCATCTTCACATCTGCTCATCTTCACATATCTTCACACCTGCTCACCTTCTCTCTCACGCCTTCTTTTTATCTTTCTCTCTTAAGGCCGAGGGTGGTGCCGGCGGCGAGTCACGAAACGTCAACCCTTTCGCACGAAATGAGGGTCGATCGGCAAAAACTGAGGTAAAATTGCGATTTGACTTGCCCTGGAGCAACCCTTTCGCACGAAATGAGGGTCGATCGGCAAAAACTGAGGTAAAATTGCGATTTGACTTGTGCCGGAGCAACCCTTTCGCACGAAATGAGGGTCGATCGGCAAAAACTGAGGTAAAATTGCGATTTGACTTGTGCCGGAGCAACCCTTTCGCACGAAATGAGGGTCGATCGGCAAAAACTGAGGTAAAATTGCGATTTGACTTGCCCCGGAGCAACCCTTTCGCACGAAATGAGGGTCGATCGGCAAAAACTGAGGTAAAATTGCGATTTTACTTGTGCCGGAGCAACCCTTTCGCACGAAATGAGGGTCGATCGGTAGAAACTGAGGTAAAATTGCGATTTTACTTGTGCCGGAGCAACCCTTTCGTCTGTGTGTAAAAGCGTCTGTGTGTAAAAGCGTCTGTGTGTAAAAGCTTCTGTGTGTAAAAGCGTCTCTGTGTGTAAAAGTCTCTGTGTGTAAAAGCGTCTGTGTGTAAAAGCGTCTGTGTGTAAAAGTGTTTGTGTGTAAAAGTGTTTGTGTAAAAGCGTTCGTGTGTAAAAGCGTCTGTGTGTAAAAGTGTTTGTGTGTCAAAGCGTCTGTGTGTAAAAAGCGTTTGTGTGTAAAAGCCTCTGCGTGTAAAAGCGTCTGTGTGTAAATGTGTTTGTGTGTCAAAGCGTCTGTTTGTAAAAAGTGTCTGTGTGTAAAAAGCGTCTGTGTGTAAAAGTGTTTGTGTGTAAAGGCGTCTGTGTGTAAAAGCGTCTGTGTAAAAGCGTCTGTGTGTCAAAGCGTTTGTGTGTAAAAGCGTCTGTGTGTAAAAGTGTTTGTATGTAAAAGCTTCTGTGTGTAAAAGCTTCTGTATGTAAAAGCTTCTGTGTGTAAAAGCTTCTGTGGGTAAAAGCTTTGTGTGTAAAAGTGTCAGTGTAAAAGCGTCTGTGTGTAAAAGTGTTTGCGATGCAAACTATTGTCTTGCACTTCTCACTATTTTGTCTTGATACTCCTCTTCTCGACTGCCTATAACACAGCTTTCATATATCGTTTCTAATATTGCGTCTCCATACTAACAAGAGAAGACCCTGCTCCTCTACGCTCTCGGGCCATCCGTCGTCTAGTTTCAGGATCTTTACAACATCCTCTCACAAGGACATCGACAAGACCCTGTTCATTCATATATTGCAGACCTCTAAGACTGCACCATGAAACTCTTGCAAAATCTTCCGAAGAATTCAAAAGATCTCTTTACAGGATCTCAGAGAATCAGCTAGAATCAGTACCACGCCACAACGAGAGCGATCCGACGCGCACAAAGTGTCGAGAGGGCTGGGCGAGCGATATCAAATTTCGCACTGCGCCACAACGAGAGCGATCCGACAAGCACAAAGTACCGAGAAGGGTTGTGCGACCGATATCACAATTCGCATCGCGCCACAACGAGAGCGATCCGACACCGACAAAGTGACGGGAGGGTTGCGCGATCACATGTTGGATTTTCTCACCAAATACTGTAATACTGCATGCACCAAGAAAATGAACATTGAACATGTCAAGAACAATGTTTTACCTAGGTTTCAGATGGTTTCAGCCCCTTTTGTCGAGGTCTACAATGTCTACAAAGTACTGCGCCTGCCACGAAAAATGAGACCAAGGCATCCGAAGTCCTGCACCTGCCACAGGGAATCATCATCATGTCCCAAATCACAAATGACGACAGTTTCACAAAACGATTTTCGACCCTTCCAAAACGTCGCCACGAAAAATTGCCTCCGAAAAACACCTCTCATTTTGACACGCGCCTGCCAACGTTTTCGCAACGTGTCGAAAGTGCCACGCGTGCCGCGCGGATAAAAAAGTGTCCCATGTCTTGCACCTGTCACGGAAAACGACGTTCCAGACCATCTTGTGCGAGCCTGCACAGTCGAAATGCGCATGGACATCTCACAAGGGAACTTTTGCGCAAGAATTTACAGTGAAAATGCCGGGGACCACAGAGCATACTATGATCTAACCCCAGTTTTTTACCCTTAATTACTGCAAGAGCCCCTCAGTGTGGACACACTGTTTGGGGAAAAACCGTCAGGCTGTGGGAGTTTCATCACTTTTTTTCGGAATATTTCGTCGAAATCTAATGCAAGCTGGTGCCGCACGCCAGTGATGGAACTGTGGGTTTATAGTTCCCATGAGGTATAGAATTATAGAAATATCTACGATAAATCCAAGTGATTGGAATTATAAACAAATTTAGCTAACTATGGAGCACCTCCACGTGGGTATGCAATCATCAATGATGGGATTCATGGGAGAATCATGGGATGATCATACATATTCACGGCCCAACGTCACTAGAAATGATGATTAGGTTTGGGGCAACTACCTCATTTTATTGTCAAAGTTCAGTCAGATATTCTGGAATTTCAAGCGTGGGTCTCCAAATTGGTTACAGTATCACCGTTGATCAATGAGATCCTTCATGGGATATTTGATATATCTTAGTTTATCTTTGTGAGTTCCTCATCAATGTATTATTATTATCATTATTATCATTATTATCATTATTATCATTATTATCATTATTATCATTATTATCATTATTATCATTATTATCATTATTATCATTATTATTTTTTTATCATGTTTATTATTATTATTATCATTATTATTATTTTCATATTATCATTTTTTATTACTATTCTATATATATGTTGTTTATTTTGATATTGTTATTATCATTGTTATTATTATATAACTATTATTTTCAACATTATGCTTATAATCATTATATATATATTGCATGTATATTTATATATAATATTATTTAGTGTAGTATATGGGGTTACTCTCAAAGTCTGGGATGGGCCTCCAATTTTTTCTAGAACATCTATTAGGGGGCAAAGTCTGGGATGGGCCTCCAATTTAAACTAGAACATCTATCAGGGGGGAACATGACTGACGATCAACCATAGCTTTCGGCTTAATTTAGGTTTGGTAAGACAAGGAAACTACAAACCACACATTGGAAACTCAAACCACTCAAACTCCACTCTTTGATAATTTAAGAGTCCGTTCGGAAAATTATTTACCTTTGTAAACAATGTAATCAAACATAGCAATGGAAAATCATGCCATCTATAGTTGTTTTTCCATAATTTTCCTAGTTATAAAATTCATTAAGGTAGGATTTTCAATTGCCATCTTTGAGGATACCGGAGGGTATCCATTATTATGGCATTTGTTGGCGGAGCTACTGGGAACTTCGGCATTTCCACCAGGTTCAAGTGGCCCCTGCGCCGGCTGCGCCGGCAACGCCGGCCGCGAATCGTCGCCCTGCAGGGGTGCCAGTGGGAACGAACCATGGCGCGGTTGTGGGGATGGGGGAGATGAATGGAGATGAACGCTATAGCCGCTAGGGAAATGCTTGGAGGATCCACGGATCGTAAGTGGTTATTTGGGGTTAGTTCACCCTGTAAGTGAAAACTCATGGAATAACATGAAATAATCCGCTAAGTGGGATGATCCCCCAAGTGGGGATGCAATGATCAAGATATGTCAAATGCAAAGCACAGGAAAAACAGCAGAAATTGGTGACCAAACCATTTCGAGCCACTTTGAGCTCAAAGTAAGCACACTTGGAGACTCCAAGTGTTGCGGGCTGTAGAAGTTATAGAAACGAAACACCATGATGAAATTAGACATTGTATAATTTTTGCGCATCATAAGGATTATCATATATTATCATCAATTATAATATAATTATTATAGAAGGGATACACTGACCCAAAAATTGCGATTCTACACGCAAAACATGTGGATATCTCATCCCGGAATGATCATTGCTGGATGCGAAATGAGCCCTGGGGCTGCAAGAGGACTCGCATCCTGGATCCGGAGCCTAAAATTTGAAACATATTCAAACGTCGAAAAAAAAAATACATCAAACAAATATGAATTCATGGAAAAATGGCAATATATATATATAAATCACATTGGACATATAAGTACTCGTACATATAGAAAAATAACTCCGCAAAAACAAATAAGGCAATGGCTGGTCGGAACACCTGATTTGGTCAGCAGCAAATTCGTTTTTGAACTTTGAACCCTCACAATTCACTCTGTTTTGTTCAAAGCTGCATTGCAGAGTCTACCAAATCATGTGGAAGGGTTTTAACTTTGTTTTTCCAAATCTGCACACAACAGAACCAAATGGCGCAACAAATGACAACACATTAGGACAAAAGCAAAACCTTGCAAAACAATGCAACAGATTACAAACAATTTGAACGATTTAGAAGAAATGTGAACAAACACATCCACAGTGATGATATAAAAATGAAGCAACACAACATATCGAAATTTGGGCCTCAAATTTCCAAATTCTAGCAGTTCGTAAAGGGAGTCGTTCCCTATCACAAAGTCTGTTTTCAGGGCACAGCCTCGCAAAGCACAGCCTCTGGTCATGAGTACCCTGGCATGGGCACTCTCGTTCTCACTAAAGAAATATATACTTGGTGGCTCATCCCACTTAGTAAGTGGGTTATAACCCCAGTTATAAATGGGATAAGTAGGGTTAATCCACTTATAACTGGGGTTATAACCCACTTACTAAGTGGGATGAACCACCAAGTAGGATCATCATTCAAATGATTCAGATTTCAGGCACAATGACTCGGAAACTGATGATATTCATGCTGCCGCTGACGAATTGATTCATGGTCCTAATATGTTGCCTGTCTTGCAACTGTTAAAAAAAACACTGATGATGCCGGTGTGCTCACATAAGATGGCAGAACCGTAAACATGTATACATATATATATATGCATATACACATGCATATATTATATATTATTGTATAATCATATATATATGATACATGAGATAGGAGGATCCAGTATCATTGCCATGTTTGCTCATCGATTTTCCAGACAGAAATAATAGGTTTGCTGAAGTGAAGGAAGGGAGGCAAAACTCACGACTGTCAACCTTTCTCGCATGACTTCCAAGGAAAGGAATGGGCAAAAGTGCCGCTGGGGTGCTTAATCAGTTGCAGTGACCCATCAAGCAGGACACTGTTTTTTGTATATGTTTGTGAACGTGCCACAAAAAGTGTCAATGTCAACACTGCAATTTTAAGGGAATGTTTTTTGTCAGGTGGGATGACGATTCCAAAGCATTTGTACATACCCATGGATATGTACGATACAATCATCCTTGCAAATTCCATATTTCACAACCAGTTTTTTTTGGGGATCACTGCACATAAATGGTCCAATACAATCCAAGCAATACACTTTTGCTTTTACATCTCCACTATAGCTGGCTGCACTCTGAGGCGAAAGGGAAGGATTGCAAAGATGGCAAGGTGAGGGGCTTGGATGGGCTTCGGGATAGCCCTTGGGCAGGGGTTTCAGTGTTTTTGGCCATGCAATGCCATGCGCTTTCGGGGAAAATCGGAGATTAGGCCATCGAACATTTCGGGGTGACTTAGTTTGACACGGACCCTATCGAAATTCTTGGGTAACTTGGTTTGAGACGGACCTGGGGAGCGTGATGCCACTACGAGTTGGTGTATCATGAGATGCTGAGGTGACTAAGGTGTCATTCAGGTTGGTTAACTGTGCACTGAAACTTGCCATCACTTGACATACCTCCCCGTACCTTGCACAATGGAACATACACATACCACATTCTGTTTGTGATGTGATTCTCAACCCAACACATGGGATGATACCCAATTCACACATGTCTTTTGCGTTGAAATGGGAGATTTTTTTAGGTTGTTGCGATGCCCACGCACCCAAAGGTCCCTCGGTATATAGATGTATATACTACATTACTATAATTAGCTTGGTAGTTTTGAATATATTTCACTTTCAACCATAGAAACGGAATGATCTCATGATGGCTGACTTTATATATTGTTCAGGAGCGTTGACTCAACCACCAACATGGCGTATATGTGTTTTTTTAATAGAGAAACAGTGGTCGCTCAATCATCAAGTATATATATATATACACATATCAGAAATTATCAAAATATGTTGTTTCAGCACTAACAAGGTGGAGCCCCCAAAAGTTGACTAAGCGGGTTCACTATGGTTTCTGGTATAGATATATAGATTTTAAACCAATTTAGAACTCGGGGGCACCACCTTGTAAGAATGAACATCATTAATTATTGTTTTCGTGACATGTTACTTGTCCATCAGCTTGTGCATTCGTGGGAGCCAGGTCAACTGCCAATACACATTTCCTATTCGCAGTTCACGTACCCCCAAAGGAATCAAGAATGAAAGGGCCCCAGGATTATTCACAACATTTCATAATATAAGAAAATTCATGACCTGAAAGGGTACATATATGTTACATATATTCTATTTTCCTGCGGAAATACATTCAACACGGGGGTGCAACGAATTCTTATCCCTTCCCCCCAATATGAAATACTCCAATTTGGATCACCAAAAGTGAGCAGATTCAATATTAAGTCATGTTTTCCAGGCGGGGTATTTGATATTGTTTGATATTGGGGAGATGGGATTGTATTTCAAGCCCATTGTTTCATGATAAACATTCATAAACTATAATAACCTCATGTTTTAATGCATATTAATAATTATAGTGATGAAAATAATAATGATAGCATACAAAATACAAATAAATTAAATAAATAGTAATCATTAGTAATAATAGTATTAATAGTAATAAAAAATATCATAATAATATGTATATATATATATATATATGTGTGTGTGTCATGTTTCTCTATGAACATGATAATTTTAGGGTCTCCTCTATGCAAAAAAACACATCTGCTCCATCTTTTCCCAGGGGCCTGAAGGAGGAGCCGCACCGGCACCGTCTTGGGTGGTTGCAGGATGGTGCTTCCCCCCAGTGATAAGTTGGTTTATAAACCCCATGAACTAGTTCGTTATATCAACCATACAGCCATAGAATTCAGCCACTTTGATATCTCAACAGGGGGCCCCATCCTGTAATTGAAAAAACGGTTTAACATGGTTTAACCATCAAGCATGTGGGGATACAAATGATGTAAATGATGATTGGTGGATGATTAGTTCAGGGATTCTACTATCCAACATACTTTGTTTTATATTGATTCCATGGGAATCCACTTCACAACCAGGATCAAATTGATATAAATACAAAATGAATTTAAATGATGAAATTTTACTGAGGATTTTGAACACTGTGAAAAATCTGATATGTTTTTCCCCGTTGGTTTATCAGATCTGGGAATTGTCCACGATGTGCGGTTTTTGACTCATTTAACTCGCCAGTAGGTGATGAATGGGAAATTGGACAAGTGGATTAATTTGGGAGAATCGTGGGATAGTCATTGATAATTATGGGAAAGCTATCAGCAAAACCATCCCCAATAAAGGTTTATGAAATTTGTTATACCCGTAGAACTGTCAGGATCTGAGGCCATGGGTGTGTCTGAAAATAAGGCACCACCCTAGCACAAAGATTGATGGTTGGTCAACATGTTCCCAGAAAGCTTATTTAGGGGTATACACAATTTTCAGACGCACGCATATGTATGTATATGACATGTATATATATAAATAGTATACGCCTTTTCGCACGGGTAATATATATATATATACAAATATGTATATACACGTTACCCTCTGGTTATTTAACACAGCTATGGTATAGATGGCCCATAGAACTAGTTGATTTCTGATGATTTACCTCATTAAAACACAGTGGTTATCCATAGCTACGTTAAATAGCCAGAGAGAGGGTGATATATATATATTGATATTGTGTATATATATATAACGCATCTTAAGTTTACAACATGTTGTAGAATCGTAGCCATATGTTTTGCAGTTGCCCCTCAAGAGCCGTGACTGGCCAGATGTGATTTGTGCAGGAAAGCCAAAGACCGATGTGTGATGACTCAGCCAGCAGGGGGTTGGCACGAAAATGACCGAGATGGCCATCTGATGGCCATGACCTTTCTGGAAATTTATTGAAAGGCTCTATGGAATATATGGAATATATGGAATATATGGAATATACTTGATATACTTGATATACTTATCTTGGTGGCCGAAGCACCAGTGATGGGTAACGAGGTTTCAACTCCCCAATGTTGGGACATCTTAAAGAACGTGACAGTCAGCCTCTGGCGAAACCTCGGGTGAAGTGACTTGGAGGGTGTAGATCCATAGTTGATCCATGTTAATCCTTTGTTTTGCAATTGATTGGGATACATACTACTGTACAGTACTTGGCAAATATACCATACGGTTGTGTCTGCACATGGGGGATTGATCAATGGTGAAAAAAGGACAGTTGTCGTTCACCAGGGGATTTCGGGGTATCCTATTGTCAGACGCAGGGTATCCACTATTCACTATTATCACTATCAGGCATTTTGAGCACAACAAAAACCTGGCTGGTGGATTTTCCACTTCCGGTGAATTAGCTACAGTCTTACAGTGGCTTATGGTATCTTCTTGTAAGGACCTTATTGGAACATTATGGGGCCTACCAAAACCCCATGGAAACCCTACACAAACCCTACACAAACCCTTTGTTTTTCCCTCAGTTTGCCTAGGGCTTGCGTGGGTCTTTGATGGGAGTTGATGATATTTGTTATTGGCAGGCCACAGCCTTTGTGGATCAAGGCCCTCCATCGGCTTAGTTAGTGGGGCCATAATTACCAACCAGAAAAGGAACTGGTGTTCCTAGAAGGTGTTCCTAGAGGGGACTATGTTCGCCCCCATCAGGCAATTTCCAATTTCCTGGTGCCATTCATGGGCATAGCATGGGGGTTTGGTGGGGGTTTGGTGGGGGTTTGGTAGGGGTTTGGTAGGGGTTTGATGGTGGTTTGATGGGGTTGAGCCCAAATCTGGGAATGGCGTGGGGGTTTTGTGGGGGTTTGGTGGGGGTTTGGTGGAGGTTTGGTGGGGGTTTGGTAGTGGTATTTGAAACAGGACAAGAACAATGCTATTTGCAGCAGCCCAAATCTGAGAATAGCATGGGGGTTCGGTGGGGGTTTGGTGGGGGTTTGGTGATGTTTGGTGGGGGTTTGGGGGGATTTGGTAATGGTATTTGAAAGAGAACAAGAGCAATGCCATTTGCAGCAGTCAGCAACCCAAACCTGGGCATGGCATGGGTATGGATATAGTAGGGCTAAAAGGTTAGAACGGTTAGTATTTTGAGTCTAAGAATGATTGTTTCCAGCTAATGGCTGCAGCTCCTTGGGAATGTTACGGGGTTTTAGTTGGGTTCTTGTGGGAGTCTTGTGGGGGTCTCAGGTGTTGGCTGGGAATCTTCAGGGGTTCCTATGGGATGATCATGGGGCCTCCAAAACTCCAGAAAGGCCTCTACAGAAAGCGCCCCTAATCCACCCTATGATACAGGGTAAATCATGATAAATCTATATAATTAAATCTAACCAGATTCCCATTCCAAAAAACACAATGTCTTTCGATTGGTCATTTCCAAATTGTTCCATCCGTGTCCCGGAATCGATTGGTAGTAGACCTGCGGACGCCATCTCAGCCCATGAGGTCGTTGTTCCTCCAGCAAAATCCACATACAAACAGGCACTGCAGCATTGCATTGCTGCTGGGCCCATGGCGTTCCCCTGGCATTCCTCACCTGGGCCATGGTCAGCCTCGAATGTCCTGGAATGTTGGAAAAGGGGCTTAAGTTTGGTTCATTAACGCGGACTTTTTATGTCAAATGTTGCTGGATGTGGATACTGATGTGCACTCCGGGAATGTTTCACCATGTCCTGAATTCTTGCAAGAAGTTCAGATTTTCTTTTTCAGTGCCCCATACAATTTTGAAGCAAAGTCAATATGATATATATATATATGTATCTAATGATATATATATATAATTAATGATATATATATATATAATGATATACATAATGATATATATATATATACATAATGATATATATATAATGATATATATATATGTATCCATCATATTAATGCGTATTCATTTGCATATAATAAATCTGTACATATCTATATAGGATAATATATACACATATATCAGTACATATATTGTATATATATACATATATATATAACTATTTGTAAATACATATCTACAAATGTATATACATGCTCAAACATATTTTCATTATTGTTATGTTTTCATTGAACATTCCATATTCTATAAAATTACTCCAAGATGACTATGCATATATAACTGTATATATATACATATATTTAATTATATGTGTATATATATATATACATCCAAAAGTGCAGACCACTACCTGTGACCACTCCCTCTTCGTTGCCTTCCTTGCCACCGTTGTCACCGTTGCCACCTTGGGTCGCGCCATAGGGCGGGCTCCGCACCACGGTGAACACACCGGAGACGCTGGTGACCGAAGCCGATGAGGGCGATGAGGCCGGATCCACGAGTCTCCAGTGACTTGACCTGTTATGAAATATATATATAATATTATATATCTTTTATTATATATACGTGTGGTTTATGACATTGCTTTACCAACAGTACTTTGATTTTCGGTGTTTGTTTGTGGGGGCCCCATATAATTTGAATATAATTTGAATAACCCAATAGAGGTTAACTTATGTTTGGTGACCAGAGCTATGATCCTCCAAGATCCAAAGATCTTTTCACAGGACACTGGGGCAGCAAGGTCAGAGTTTCGGAGTTGAAGTGAAAAAAACTGCAAGTCTTGGCCATATTTGTGAGGATTAACAGTCTAGCTCTCCCATTGAATTCACAGTTTTGCTGACTTATTCACAGTATTTTGCTGGTTGAGTCACTCTATGTTTGGGGTAGCCAAGCTTGAACCTTATCCCATATCTCCCACGGATCGTAAGTGGTTGAGAAGCCTGGTGATCAGATGCGTAGCCTCATTAAGTGGGTTATCGAATGTTATCCAATGTTGTCCCATTATATGAATATATTTGATTATATAAATTTATATAATAATATAATATGATATAATATAATATAATATCATATAATATCATATAATATATATATATAATATCATATACTATAATATAATATAATATAATATAATATAAAATAAAATCATAGAATATATTATAATATATTATAAAATAATATAATATAATATAATATAATAGAATATAATATAATATAATAGAATATAATATAAAATAATATAATATAATAGAATAGAAAAGAATATAATATAATAGAATATAATAGAATATAATAGAATATAATGGAATATGATAGAATATAATAGAATATAATAGAATATAATAGAATATAATAGAATATAATAGAATATAATAGAATATAATAGAATATAATAGAATATAATAGAATATAATAGAATATAATAGAATATAATAGAATATAATATAATATAATATAATAGAATATAATATAATATAATATAATAGAGTATAATAGAATATAATAGAATATAATAGAATATAATAGAATATAATAGAATATATTAGAATATAATATATTATAATATAATATGATAGAATATAATAGAATATAATAGAATATAATAGAATAGAATATAAAATAATAGAATATAATAGAATATAATATAATATAATATAATAGACTATAATAGAATATAATATAATGTAATATAATATAAAATAACAGAATATAATAGAATAAAATATAATATAATAGAATATAATATATCCCATTCATCTAAATGGCTGAACAAAACCCATTAACCACCTATGAGTTTTGGGATGACCCTCTGAAACGAACCGGGGCCCAGATGGATCCGGAGCAGTACATGTACTACGCCAAAGTCCCAGCCATGGGAAAACGGTGGAGGTTCAATTGATGTTGTTGGAAACTTAAGGGGAACACCCTCTAAATCCAAGGGTTCTTCATAATTTTCTCACTAACATTGCAATTTTTGGTGGGATTTCATGGGATTTCCTGGCATCTGGAGGTATCCCATTTTCAGACAAACGCACTCACTGCTGACACAAACAAACAGGCTCAGACATAGAGATTGAAGCAAGAAAATCTACAAAAATAGTGGGGAGAGTGCAGGAAGCCAAAATAGCGCATCATATTCATATTTCCTGTTAAAAAGAAAAAACGAGGATGAATTCTCCATGTTCAGACACGTCCAAGTATCATCTTGTTGGTTATATGTATCCCAATAACACCACATGTTCCCAATAAATCACCATTATATAAATTAAATCCGCATTAAATCATAATAAATCAGCCTTCTATTTATGGTTCCCATTATGATGTTCCAAAATCCTTTGCTTTTTTTTATAGGCCAACTGGAAATCCCTGTCGTCAGCACTGAGGCTCAACAGTATGCTGCCCTGGCTCAGCAGTTGGCGGCTGAGACGGGATGTAGATCTTGAAAAACTTACATAGATTTAGTGGCGATCCATAGTTAGCTGAGTTGGTTGCAAGCTCAACTGTTGGATTCATGGTGATTGCAACTATAGTTAGATGCGTTTATAGATCAACTGAATCAACTTATATATCTAGGGATTGTAGATACTTTAGACAAATCTACCGGGCAAATCTGGAACATTTTGCCGATTTTGCCATTCATGAAGTGGGAGGAATCTTGGAGGTTTTGCAACCAAGTGCGAGTTGACCCGTCACTTAGATTCACTTAGAAGGTTTCAGGTCCCACATGTGACGCTTGCCCTCCGTAGGTCCAAACGGGCACCCACGATACCCCACGTCTGAGACATAGCAGTTGACTATACTGTATGGACTATACCCAAACTTGCTAGTTCTATCCCCGCTATTCTTGGTAAATATATGTAAATATCCTCATTACACTTGTTTGCAACCATACTATCTTGGAATGTCCATCTCTTTAAATTTGACAGTCCTCCCGGCGCCTGAGATATGCCGCCTATGCCCAGTATTGCGCGCAATATGCGCCGCAGGCGGAAATGTTCGATCCGTTTGGTTTGGTAGTGGTAACATGGCAATGGACAATCCCGCATTTATAGCACGAGGTTTCCATTTACCTGCCCATTGATGGCGATTTCCCAGCCATGTTTGATTGTAATCCTGAAGATCCAAAAACATCAACGGAATCATCGGAAAGTCCAGGAATCTAAAGCACTAAGCCCCAAACCGAGAGATGAAGTTGGTAGTTTGGATGTGCCATGGACAACGAATATAACTACTCATATCCTTAGCAATTCCGATAGTAACCCCCAAAACTATAGAAATATTATATGTATTTGTATTTATCAGAAATTTAGTAGCGGACATTTACTTTTCTATCTTTGTTGGGGTTGCTCTTTGTGTCAATATTTTTTTGTTGTTAATTAGTATTAATAGTATTAATTAGCCAAATTCCAAGTTCGATCTTGTATCATAACCAAGTTCTGGCCGTTTTGCTGATTTTGTTTGCTATTTTGATCATTTTAGCTGACTGAGAAAAAACAAAAGGAAACAGTTGGTTGAACAAGTTGGGATGTCCGAACCAATGACTGAATCTCCAGTAGTCAGCTATGCGGGCTGCGGGATGTTTCAATCATTAGGTTTTCGACAGTGCCCATTTGTGTGGGATAAATTTCCATGCCATGTTTACGTGGTCGCATCAATTTGTGGTTGCTCGAACCATCTCGAACCCCTTTGTGGGTGGAACAGACTCCCCAATAGTTATATACAGCTCCCCTGTTGGCTGGTCGCAGTTGCCTCATGTTTGTTGGTAGATCAAAACATATCAAAACCCATAAGAACACGGTGGGATGCAGATTCACAACCATGGCTTTTTTGGTGGTCGACCCCACAGCCATGGTATGCCATGGTTTCATGGCACCTCTATGTGGATATTAAATTCATCACATTTCAAGAGATCCCCGACTAGGCGCAAGCCGCAGCAGGTGTCTTGTCCTGGTCGGGATAGATTCGTTCGATTGGTAAACAAATCAGGAAACAATTACCGGAAACACTCACCATCACCTTTCCATGGGAAAATGCCATGGGTTTCCTGTAGAGTTTCCCTTAAAATAATCCATTGAAATATGATGCATAAGCCTGTTTTCTTGGTTGTTCACCCCTTAGAAAGTGGTACTCGTAAGTGGGGTTATAATCCAGTTGTAGAGTCTGTAGAGGGGATAACCCAGGAAGCGGGGGCGTTTTTTTTATAATGCCAGGTTACCAACAATCCGTTGCATGATCCTCCAACTGGATTGGTAAACTGGGATGTCCATGGATGTCCGACATAGTGACATAGTGTTGTTGGATGTTGTTGGTATTGATTTGTTTGTTCTATCTTTGTCCGGGGTTCCAATGGGGTAATTCACCACAAGAAGGATCAACCCAGGGGGCACGCCATCGAATCGGTTTCGGTTTCGGGTGGTATCAGAGCTCGATGAAGTTCGGTGGAGCTTGTGCGAGTCCACAGAACCTTGGGTATGAAACAAGCAGAAGTGAACCCAAAACCTTGGGTTAAGAGTTTTCATCCATCTCTGTATGACTGTATGATCAGTCATCATGGCTCCCAATGGGATTGTCTGAAAGTAGGGTAGCCCATGGTCGCCCCACATCGCATGCTTTTTCATCAATGGTCCTATTAAATGGTCATTTGAGATGAGTACACCTTAACCCCATAAGTTTCATCTGGTGGAAATTCGATGCACAAGGTCGTCAGCATGGCTCCGCTCCTAGGCCAAAAGCAGATGCCTGCACCCACAAGTACTGCTGTGGCGCAACAGCAGCAACAGCAGCAGCAGGCGTGTTGTTGCAAACCTGGAAGATTCTGTGAAAAGGTTCGAGTCGGATTTTAAGCGTTACTTTCAAAGAGGAGTTTGCGTAAATTTGGCCCCTTCTGGTTGACGATTTTGGGTCGAAGTTGGGTACACCATGGTACACCACATTTCGATGGATTTGGAGGTTTCCAACCTTGGCCCAGGAATATCTTATTTCGGGTGTGCGAAATGTCCAATTTGTCCCTGCATGAAGATGGCTATGTACTGATTCATTGTTCGAGGCCCTTCTCCCACATCGATGTGGGTGGGTCTGAGGTTGATGTTGCATGGCTTGATACAGTGCTGTATACAATTTACAACTAACCCTCTGGTTCTTGAACCCGTTGGGCCGAGCTTTTTGTCAAATTGGACTTGTGACTTGTGTTTGTGAATGTTTGTGAAATATTTCGTGCGCGGACCCATACACACACATAATATATATATAGATATATAAATTAAATAAATCAGTATATATGTGGGTCCAATTTTCAGGAATGGAAACCCGGAAAGCCCACACATGCTGGTCATTGGGAGTGCTAATCCATGCACTTTCGGATTTCCACGGACCAACAGGCAGCACAGCAGGGGCAGCAGAAGAACACACCCATCATGGTGACGCCGTGCCCAAGCCGGTTGGAGCCTTCCAAAGGATGGTGGATGGTTGGTGGCAAACCATGACCAACCATAGTTGGAGGGTTGGACATAAAACTGTGTCAGGATCAATACTATTGGTATCTATCGGCACTGTGAAGAAATCCTCCGCCAGTTCACAGCTGGCTTATACATGTTTATAACATGTTTTATAGATTTATAGGGTTTCAACCATCCAAGATCATCCGAAGGATTTCTTCCACAGTATGGAATGACATGGAATGACATGGAATACTTGGTATAGTTCAACGTAGTACCCCTAATTTTCATGGTTTATAATAACCGTCCCTCTAAAAGTGCAATTGTTGGGGTGTACACAGTTTAGGACACTCCCAAATGGATGGTTCATGATTCTAATGACGCTTCAAAGCTAGAAGCCATCAGCCTTTTGTGGGGCCATGGCTACCCCAACGCCGCTACCGGGGTCAGGTACCGCCACAACTGGCTGATCAGTGGTAGCCATCGAGGCAACCAAGATGTCTGGGAACCTAGTCCTCTGGGCCCAGCAGCAAGGAGAGGGTCGACTGCAATCATCTACCATTTCCATCCATTTCCATCCATTACCATCTGTTACCTATCAGTTACCTAAGATTACCTAAAGAATTTATACCAGTATGTGGATCTATCAATAGTCTTTGTGGGAAAGTTGGCGTTCTGAGCTGCTGATCTTGCTTTCTATCGCTTGGTTTCCAAAACTGTCTCTCTAGATTCAGAACTTGCAGATCATTGAGATACTGCACTGAGTACGAGTCCAGGCGAAAAGCCATGGAACAAGTCTTTTTTCAGATCCACTTAAAATCGAGAGCCGAGCCATTGGGGAAACCCACTTCTCTAAAATTGCCTATTTTTTTTTCACAATGTCTCCATTGAACAAGCACCAAACAAAGTCTTACAGTAAGACGTCAGTTGGGGATGGGATGGACATTCAGTTGATCAATCCCATCCATGGACATCCCCTACATCCACCATGGTTTCTGAGGCTTTCCAGGCTTCACATCAGGGCGAAGGGATTAGCAAAGAAAAATACCATGGTTAACTTTAGAAACCATAGAAATCCCCTATATTTCATATTAGTTACTGTATACTCAGTTGTTAAACTCCAACTGCACCCCCAAGTAGAAGCTGCGCGCGATGAGGGGGCCTGGTATGAAGCCATCAAAGGCGATTTGGTCAAGGCCTGAGGGATTTTTTCAATGGGCAGATTGGCCATAATACCCACTGGTGTTTTTTTGTTGAGTTGGAATTTACATTGTATGTATATATATATATATGTCAATGTATACTGTTACATATTTATATAACATAGCTATTGAAAATCACCATTTTTAAGAACGGTAAATCATCGAACTAAATTGGTGGTTTCTAATGTGCAAACTGGTATATATACTGATTAGCAGAGGGTATGTTGGTTAAATGTCCATCACCTGGGACGTGCCATATCGCAGCATTCTGTCTATCCGCTGAAAAAGGGGTTGGGGTGGATGACGCCATCGATGTCTATACCAGCAGTGTATTAAACCGTACTCGTAGCATTTGGGATGGTGCTCTCCAGATTCTGTTGTTGGTGAAAGCTTCCATTTCTTGTACTGCAACCCGCGAGCTTAGCTCTCCCAGTTCGGTTATCCCTAGTGATCCCTCAATCTTTGAATCTTTCTCCAATTTGACTCACTTCCCCTAACCAAGATATTCAATGATCAATGGCCATTTCAGGAACCTAAACTGGAGGTACCTAGCATATATCATTAAGGCCTATTTTTCAGACCTATTTTTCAGGGAATATCACCACACACTATGGTCTTATATGGTACTAACGTACCTCCATTTTAGGATCTTGAAATTCCCATTGAAATGGTCATGTTGAAATTCATGTTGTCGAGCACCGAGGCGACCGTGCTTAGCAATGTACTAACCAATCACTATCCCATGTTTTACAAACTTAAGTTATTTTTCGAAGTGGTCAGAAGCCATTGACTTACCCAAACTTTTTCTCCCAATGATGTTCAAATCATTGAAATAATATAGTGTTACTATATTGTTCAATGATTTTCTGACCATCGAAGCAAGAAACTGATTGTTTGAGCCATTGACTAAGCCATGTCCAATTATTTACTTGGATTCTCCCATATATTTAATATACTATAATTAATGGGATTATATGATATATATTATATAAATTATGATATTTATTATTTTGTTTGTTGTAACTCATATCATATATCATATAATAATGGCTTTTAACTATGGTCCATTTTTTAAAGCCAGTACTTATTGTTATGAGATATTCTGATATATTGTAGTTCAACAACAATTATTAAATATTACTGATTGGTGGTTTGGAACATTTGAATTATTTTTCCATATATTGGGAATGTCATCATCCCAACTGACGAACTCCATCATTTTTCGGAGGGGTAGGTCAACCACCAACCAGATTACTATCATAATGAACCACCATTAACCATATAAGAACCATATCATAATTAACCATCATTAACAGTATATAAACCATCAGTATCCTCTGGTAAACTGACATAACTGTGGAAAATCACCATTTTATAGCTGGGTAAATCAAGCATTATTAACAGTATAATAACCATTACTATTAACCATCATTAACCATCATTAACCATATAATAACCATATAATAACCAACCAGATTACTATCATCATGAGCAGTATACTAACCAACCATAAATAGGATCCAAGTCCTCGGTCCTCGGTCCCAGACCTTCGGCACGTTGTCGCGCTATGTGGGCGGCTGCCGTGCCTGTGCTCCAGTGCTCGGGGCCCAGGGAGGTGCTCCACATAGAACTCAGTTTTTTTTCAGCATATAACCCATATTATATTATTATGTATTATGTATCATAATAATATCTATATCTATACCCAGGGCGTCAACGTTGAAGTTTAACTTCAACTTGGACAACTGGCAAGTTTTGGCTGCAAAACTTAGGCTTTGTAAATGCTAAGTTTTTGGGGATCCCTGGCTCCCCTTGCCCAACTTCATGGCTCATAGCTGGGCAACTCCTGACCAATGCGGAGGGCCTTGAGGAGGAGCAGGGCACCCCAGCTTCTGGATCTATTGGTTCCAACACCATCCAACACCTGTCCCCTGGTTCTCGCTTTTTGATGGATTCTGAGGGCTTCATGGTGAGAATGCTTACAGACCTGGCGAAGGTGCTTCCACCTCTGCCACAGGATATTGGAGTTGGTGTGGCCCAACTTCATACCAGGAGAGAATTGAGTTTGTCTGAAAAACCAATTTAGTTTATGATATCCAGAAAAATATGATCAAGCGTTATCAATTTCTTGGGGTACTTTATAAATTGGCTTTCAGACAAACTTTTTTTGGGGTATCACCGAGCCAATCCTTCAACTGATTGAAACAAATGGTTCGGTTCGAGATTGGATGAAATCATCTTGATGTCCCATCAAGAAACATTTTTTTGTTTGGATTGTTTTTTGGGTGGCCCTTTGCAACCTTCTTGAGCCACACCTAGTGCAACCCAGTGCTAGACTTTGCTGGATGCAGTCTGGGCTTTCAAGCGATCCACATTCGATTGTAAGAGAGGTAAAATAAATCAAAAAGACACAAATACAGTATACTCGAATTACAGTTTAGGTATATAAGTAAGTGCTTGGGTTGATTGAAATATTCACATGGGTGCCAGACCACACCAGTCTCACTTGCTGCCGGGCTATCTCAGCAGAAGCCATGGCGTCCAAACCTAGTGTTCGGAAGGGTTTGTTGAAGGCTTGGGGGAAGTGCAAACTGGTGATCCCTTTTGATCAATTCATGGACCAGTCATTCCCAAACAAATGCCCATGCCAGGATTTCTACGACAGGTACATGGCCAATGGATTCCGTGAATCTCGTTTCCTGGACATTGCCAAAAAGGAAGGGTTCCCAACCAACCGGATTGAGAGATGCCTTTCGACCGGGCAGGTGCCATGTTTAGTCCGATTATCCATTGTGTTTGTAACTTCGGGGGTTCATCGTTCATCTTTGGTTCCCTGACCTCCCTGTCCTATTAGTTGGCCAAGAAACGCCATGATGACTGCAGGTGCCACCGCTTGAGTTCTCCTTCGTTGAGATCACGAAGAAAGGAATGAAAGAAGAGACCGCACAGCCGGCATGTTTGTATCCTACCCAATCTGTTTTTTATTTCCAGGGAATTGTAAGTTTATGGTAGTCGCATTCTAGCTATCTAGTTTTTGTGGCGCCTCGGGCCAGGTGGAAAAAGATCTCAACACAGAGTTTCTCTTAGCATGGCTTCCTTACTTTGCTGCCGACCCACCTACCCAAAAAGAATGTGAAGTGCCCCAGATGCAAGTTCAAATTGGGGATCTTCATTGGTTCCAGGGTAGCATACGTATGTTTCACCCCCCTTTTCGCCCAAGGAAGTGCTGCAAGATGTTGCAGTTTCTTGGAAACTGGTGGATGGAGAGCCGAAGTCTTTGAAATTAGAAGACGCTCATTGTGCACTATGGTCTTAAGATGTCTTAGGGTAGATATTTGTGGGGCCTTAAAACTATATCAAATCGTCCCCCTGTTTCTGCACTGATCAGGATTGGGCTTCGACAGAAGCTGGGCTTCATCGCTGTTTGAGTTCATGGATCCTTTCCAGCTATACCAGAACACCTCTTGCTAGGAGCGGGGTTGTGGCATTCTTTGAATTCGCAATAGCATCTATTCCGTTTACAGGAGGGCTGACTCCAACATTGCGAAGCTGAAGACATTCATCGGTGGAATCTACAAGGACTGTAAAATGTCAAAAATGTCACAACATGTTCATTTGTGCAAGAATTGGAAGTACTGTAATGTCAACCCCAGATTAATACCCCATGGTTTATTCTTAATTAGGGTGGTACTCCTCCAATAATCGTAATCTAATGCTTAAACGGTACCCTTCCAATTAAACAGCCCATGGGTTTATTAATCCAGGTTGACATGAGATGTCGTCATGCACAACAATAGTGTCCCAGTACTCTACCCCAAAACAAATATGTTTTTCATTCACAATCAAATCAGGAGCATGGAATTGAAAAGCGTACAAAGTCTATTCGAAAGCCTTCCCTACAAGATCAGCAGGTGGGCACAGGGTTGGGGTCATCTGAATTTTGGAACCGGGTCTGGTTGAAATTTCCCATCAAAACTTTCTCCGGTCTCCATCGGCCTTTTCAGTGCTGAATTTAGCCATCCAAATTCGTCCAACTACTGTCGCAAGGAGGCAAAGAAAAAGGATGCAAAAGAAGCAGAAGAGAAGAGCGCAGAGGAAGAGGAGGAGGTTATTGTTGAAGAAGAAGAAGAGGAAAGCATTGCCGAGGATGATGAATTGGTTGAAGTTGAAGATGAAAGCAGTGATGAGGGACTAAAAGCCGAGAAGTTCCAGAAGCAGGAAGACACAAAGGAAGAGGACACAGAGAAGCTAACAAACGAAATGGCATCTATGGAATTGAAGAGTGCGGTGGAGATGGAGACGGAGTCACAGGAAGCAAAGGAGAAGTCGTCCATGCAGGCAAAGCGGGATGCTGAACAAAAGCTGAAGAATGCACAGGAGTTGATCGATGCAGAGAAGAACATGAAAGCTGCGGAGTTGCAGAAGGCAGAGGAGATGAGGAAGAAGGCAGAAAAAGCGAAGAAGATTGCTGAGAAGATGGTTGAGGCTGAGGAGATGAGGAAGAAGGCAGAAGAAGCAATGCAAGCTGCTGCAGCAGAAGAAGTGAGGAAGGCAGAGGAGATGAGGAAGAAGGCAGAAGAAGCAAAGAAGCTTGCTGAGAAGATGGTTGAGGCTGAGGAGATGAGGAAGCAGGCAGAAGAAGCAAAGCGAGCAGCTGCAGCAGAAGAAGCGAGGAAGGCAAAGGAGATTAGGAAGCAGGCAGAAGAGGCAAAGCGAGCTGCCGCTGCAGAAGAAGTTAGAAAGGCAGAGGAGACGAGGAAGGAGGCAGAGAAAGCAAGGAAAGCTGCCGAGGAGATGGTTTTGGCAGAGGAGATCAGGAAGAAGGCAGAAGAAGCAAAGCAGGCTGCCGAGGAGATGGTTAAGGCAGAGAAGATGAGGAAGAAGGCAGAAAAAGAAAAGCAGGCTGCAGAGGAGATGAAGAAGGCAGATGAAGCAAAGCAGTCTGCAGAAGACGTGAAGAAGGAGGCAGAGGAGATGAAGAAGGCAGAAGAAGCAGAGCAGGCTGAAGAAGACGTGAAGAAGACAAACTACTGCACAGAGGCAGAGCAAGTGCTTCTGCTTAAGAAGATGTTGGAAGAGGAGAAAATGAAAACACAGGCTTTGCAAATGATGATTCAAAGGCAGAAAGATGAGGAGGAGGAAAGTCTCGAACAGGAATTGGAGGAGTTGCGCAAAGGAGCAACCGGAAGGAAGCGCGAAATGGTTGAACGGTTACTGTCAAGGGTGAAGGACCGGGAGCCTACCCCCGAGGCAGGCAAAACAGAAAAGGCAAAACCAGTAGCTGAATCCAAAGAAGACGATGACCAAAGCAGCGAGGAAGACATGAGCGTTCAGAGTGAAGCGGAAGAGGCAAATCAGAAGAAAAGGAAAGAAGAACAAGTTTCAAGGGGAACTTTCAAGGCACCAAATATCACCGGATTTTGCAGGTTGTAATGGGGCTTCAGCCCATGTGTGCCCACACCACGTGAAAACATGTGCCACGTCTTGTCACACCCTGCAGGACAGAAGGCCTTTGATTGCAAAAATACCGGCCCTCAAATCTGAACTTCTGCTTGGAGATGAGAATGACCATCCTGACCTTTTGAAGGACCAGTTACACTGTCATTATCTGCGAGTCACTTAAGTATGAGCTATTTCTGAAGATTTCTGAAGTAGTGGTGTAGGAACATTGCATTTTGCGCTCCTGTCTTGCATGTCCAGGAACAGGCTGCGCTGCGAAGGGATGTAAAGAGAGGAGCACCTAAGGAGGAAGAGGGAGATTCGTCAAAACCGACAAAGCCACAGCCGAAACGACTGAGAAAAGCGAAGAAGCCAGAGAAATCAAAGAGAGCCGAAGAGGGTTCAAAGACTGATGATGATGAAGATGGCGCTCAGGAGTCAATGGATGAAGCGCTAGAGAGGGAAGATGCCGAGTTGAAGCAGGAAAGGGAGCTGGATGAAGAGGAAGAGGCAGATGCAGCACCAGGAGCTCGCAAACCTGTCGTCCCAATAGGAAAGCCACCCAGAAGGAAAGCAAAGAAACTGCAGGGGCACCAGCAAACGGTGCAAAAGGAGCTGAAGCCTTGGATGCTGATGATGAGAAGAAGCCAAAGGACAAGAAAAGAAAGGAAGCAGAGCAGGAGCAGGCAGAAGACAAGGGACCTGATGATTTGAATGAAAAGAAGCCAGCAAAGTCAAGAAGGACAGGCACAGGCAAGGCATCAAAGGTCAAAGCTGAAACCGGAGGCAGCAAGGAAGATCAGGAAGGTCCAAAGAGATCGGAGGACTCCAGCATGTTTTTTGCAATTTTAACACTTTCGGCTTGACTTTGAAAACCAAGTTTAGAAATCAAAACCTCCAGAGATACTGTGAGAATGGACCCCTTGAGCTGCACCATTCTTTCCTTCATTCTCTTGGAGGAGCGTGCGGCCCTCGCTGCCAAACGTGAGGACTGGACTGTAAGTGTCTAGCTGTTGCTTTCTTGTCTCCTAAAACCTCCTACATCCTGCCCTTGTTGTTTTTTAGTTTCAATACAAAAAGCCAGAATGCCAAATCCCAGAATGAACCGAGGATGCCATACACAAAATTATATACAGACCAATAAATTAACTAATTAGTG